AATATTAAAAAAGAAAACACAGATAAAAATGCACCATCCTGCTTAAAAACATGCATGACCTGCTGGTGCTAACAAGACAAAAATCTGAATTCTTAGCATGGCGCTAGAGACTTTGCACATCCTAATCACAAACCACTTTTTTATTCCTCGACGTGGGTTATTTTCTTTCCCAATGTTCCTATTTCCTAGACTGACACTGTAGAACAGAATTCTGTCATGTTCTACTGGATCTATGTTGCCAGTATGGTGGCCACCAGTCCCATGGGCTATTGGGCACTTGAAATGTGACGAGTGCTCCTAAAATACAGAATTTTACATTTTGTTCAATTTTAATTAATTTCTATCCTACCTAGCCATATGTGGCCGGTGTCTTCTATATTGGACAACACGATTTGGGGCATAGACCAGTCTACTTTTGTTCTCGTATGTGAACTTCAACTCGGCTGACATGATTTCATGTGTCTTAAATGTTCTTCCTAATTTGTTGTCTTAAAAACTGCAACTTATATTCTTCAAAGAATTACTGCAATGAAGCCATACTTTCCCTGAAATCTTCTCTGCCCAACTTCCTTTGGAAGAATTAGTTTATATGTTTTATGAATGAATTATTCACACTTGAAAGGAAGCTCCACTGTGACCCATTTTGACATAGCTGTTTCTCAACACTATGTGCTTTTGTTCTTTCTTTTATTTTTTTTCAGACAGAGTCTCACTCTGTTGCCTGGGCTAGAGTGCCCTGGCGTCAGCCTAGCTCACAGCAACCTCCAACTCCTGGGCTCAGATGATCCTCCTGCCTCAGCCTCCCTAGTAGCTGGGACTATAGGCACGTGCCGCCATGGCCAGCTACTTTTTCCTATATATTTTTAGTCGGCCAATTAAATTATTTCTATTTATAGTAGAGACGGGGTCTCGCTCTTGCTCAGTCTGGTCTTGAACTCCTGAGCTCAAACAGTCCACCTGACTCAGCCTCCCAGAGTGCTAGGATTACAGGCGTGAGCCACCACGCCCGGCCCTAACACTATGTGCTTTTAAATCAGTGTTTCCCAGACCATGTTACCTCTGGTCTCAAGAATGACTTACATGCCAGGTATAGACCACAAAGATCTGGCTTAGTTGTAGGTGTCTATTTCAACAAGAACAGATCGATCAAAAATATAGTTTATGTTTTCATAAAATATGAAATATTTAATATCTTATTATTATTTGTTGTAAAAAAAATTTCCTGCTTCTGAAAAAGTCTGACAAAGCACTCGTCTAATTGTTAATTCCTTCACAGACTCTTTGTTTACTTTTGATTTTTATAGTGGACAGTTATTTATATTGTGCTTTATTATCTATATGTTTGCATTTGTTATATATTTTGTCACAACTAGATTTAAAGATTCCTGAAAGAAGAGAACACATTCCATCTCTTTTTGTCTCCAAAGTGCCTTATACATAATTGGTGAAATAAATTTTTATCATTTTACATTTTCACTAAATCAAAATCCTAAAAATAAGTAAGTCCTATCCTAGAATGGGCATACTAGGTCCCTGATGTAAGTATAATGTAGTTTTCTAAGATTTTTGATAGTCTATGGGATGAATATTCAAGTTTCAACATGAACTACTCTGTAGTTAGCAATGGCTTGTTTACTACTATTGCCTTTCTGTGACCTTTACCTGTGCCATAAAGAGTCTTGATTGTATTGTTCAGGATAGTAAGCCTAACTTCTTAGGTTTTCTCCAAAATAAATGTTAGCACAAATACACATCCATCATGTATTTATGAATGGTAATAAAAAAAAAAACAAAACATTATAGGAACATGGACCAAGAGAAAAAGTCATTGACATGTACAACAAAAAAGAAAGAGGAAAAATACAGAAATGAAGAGGGTAAGACAGAAGAAAGTAAGGGAAGGAGGGAGAAAGGAAAAGAATGATACACAAAAGAAATACACACAGGAAAAAAAGATTGAAAAAAAGAAAGAAAAAGGAAAGAAAGAAAGCCCAACATTTCATGTGTAGAATAAAGTATTAATAGAAAGCAGCTTTTATTAATTTATGTTTTCTTAGAACGTTAATTGAAACTAGAAATCTATGTTGTTTATCTCTTCCTAAAAACAAATAAATCGGGGTATTCTGAGAGTCTCAGGTATTCAGTCAAAGAGATGTCAAGAAAGGGATTTTAGTTTCGCTTAATAACGGACATGTTGACTCTTAAGTGACTCTAGCCAAGGTCTTTGATCCTGGCCTCACCACTGGCATAAACAATTTATAAAAAATAAAATAAAAATGATAAATTTCAAACTACTCAGAATTTTGAGCCTATTAAAGAAAATGGGAAGACGGAAGAAAGGAGAAAGAGAAAGAGAAGGGGAATGATAAAGTCACTAATAATGAAAACAGGTGTAATGGCAAAATACTGCAAGATCTCTAGGTCTAGGCTGTACATTGGACTGTGCTGCCTTGGGTCAGAAGAAAAACGTGAATTCCACAAAGCCCTTAAGTAGAGGATTTAGCCAGCAGAGCTGTCTAGTCCTCATAAAAGTATATTCCGATTTACCTGATTAGCAAGACCATATGGCTGAACACTGAACCATGCAGGGAGTCAGATTTGATTACTGATCCAGGTTTTTTCGCTCAAAATGTCATTTAATACTGAAAGAGCTCATAAAGCACTTAATTGAACACAGAAAAAAAAAAAACTGTGGAACTTTATTTTGGATAGCTGTAAAGAAAATATTTTTGGCACCCAGGTGGTCAATTGCAACATGTCAATTTAACCGTTGCAATTTGTCATTTAGTGCTGCAAAGCTATCGTTTAATTTTTATTCCTTATTTTTCCATCATTCGTATTTAGTATCTTGGCCTTGATGCGAAATTTTAAAGACTTAACATACAGATTTTTGTAAATGACTATTCTAGAACAGTGCCTAGACTTTGGAAGTTCTCAAAAATTTTTGATGAATACATAATTTGAATGATATCATAATTTTAAAGTTTTCACTCCCAATAACCCAGCCCTCCTGAGCAAGTGTAGCGTCCAAACCTGTGGTCGGGTGTGCATGCTCTGTAGTCAAACTGATTTGCTGCAGTCCTACCCTAGCCACCTTTTGGCTGTGTGTTCTTCAGAGAATCCATGTGAGGTTGAACACTGCCTGGCTTTTATGTTAGTTATTTATATCCTAAACATTCCCCATCAAAATGTCTAGCAGTAAAAATTTCAAAGTAGTAATTAAACATAGTTATGATGAGTAAATGATGAAATGGACGATCCAGAGAGGATGCTTGTCTTCGATTATAGGAAAATAGTAGAAAACCTCCATGTCTCTTTATTTAAAATGTTAGCAATGTTTATATTGCTAAATATTTATATTACAGTTATATTACAATATTTATATTACAGTTGACACCATTGCCCTCTGTCCATCCAGGGGCCATGATATATCCTACAGAGAAGCTAAACTTATGTTAAGTCAAAAGAGTCACAGGCTAGTTCTACAATGCAAGTTCTCAACTTCGTACTGCCAGCAATGTGCTCTGCTTTCTTGGAATATGGTGGAAATCTAAATGCAAAATATGTCAGAGTTTGAGTCTTGGAATATAGCATGAAAAGTAAAATATCATTTAAAAGTATAGCAAAGTTTTATAAATTAAGGAATGAAAAAATGGGGAGAGGAAAAATTAAATCATCAAATCCTAGAACTTCCAAAGTTAATTAACATGGAAAACTCTATGCTTCATTTTTTATGTGTGTGTGTATATATACATAAACATACATACATATACGTATATACACACACATACATACACAATACTAGGCTTACAAGCTTCCTACCCATGCATCGCTGTTTTATAGGGTTCTCATTTACTTCAGCATTTAGAAACAAATATTCTTTGAAAACATTTACTGAAACCAGTGATGAAAGAAGTGTCCTTTTTGTTCCTTTTAGAAAAAGAAATGTCTACTTTTCTTTCATTTATTTATGCATGCAATATAAAGGAAGGGTTACAAGCTTGAGCTCTGGGATTTAAAAAAAAGACCCGGGTCTGAGTCTTGGATTTTTCACTTACTAAGACCGTCTTTGCGCAAATCACTGAACTTATATTCACAGGGCTGCTCTGAGTATAAATGAAATCATGCATATGACATGCTGAGACGAGTGCCTGGAACACTCAACAAGTATTAGATATCACTTTCAGGTTGTCATAATTCCTATTATGGAAATAAATTATTTTTAATCATTCCCATACTTAAGCATATTAAAATCAGCAGAATCAATTTTAATATATAAACTTGATGTGATATAAGTTAAGGTAGGAGTGTGATTGAGAAAACAGAGAATACAAGATTATACAGAAACCAAAAGAACTTAATATCTGTGACTTTCAAGCACAGCTGGGTGCCAACAGTAAAGGGAGATGTTTATTACTAAAAACAAGCTAATTTTATTTATTTATTTATTTTTGGCCACCGATGATCAGAAATCCAAATCCTAACACAAAAATAGAATTAAAGAGAAAGCTTAAATAGTGTTTTTGGTAGAAAGAGTGACCACTCGTGGAATAATTCAGAGCATAAAACAAACCACTGTTAACACAGGTCACCCAAGAGGGCAGCTGCAGCCTTTTTGGCACCAGGGACAGGTTTCATGGGAGACAGTTTTTCCACGGATGGGGGAGGGGAATGGTAGGGGGGCGTGGCTGGGAGTGGTAGGGGGCGGGGCAGTGGGCGGAGCTCAGGTGGTGACCTGCCCACTTCCTAACAGACCAGACAGGTTGGGGGACTACAGCAACAGGGGATATTAGAAGAATATAAATATACTTTTCTTGGTGGGCAATGCTTAGGCACTCCAGCTTCACTTTAATTTTGTTTATCTTTTGTTGTAGTACCTAAAGCGTCCTTATTTCTCTCTAAAAAAACAAACAAAAAAACCCCCCATAAATATTTAAAACAGTATATCTAAGTTGAGGCCTAACAAAGTTAAAGATTTTTTTTTTTTCTTTTAAACCTACCGAGGCCTTGCTTCTTAGCTTTCTGTCCCTGGTAGCCTTTCCTTTTTGGTTGCTGGTGAAATAATGCAAGGTCCCATATTCCATCAGGGCTGCGAAAACAAAAATGAAACACACAGAGACAAAGAGATCCATGGCTGTCACGTAAGAAACCTTCGGTAAGGACTTCCTGGCAATCGTGCTCAGGGTTGTCATCGTCAGAACGGTGGTGATTCCTGTGGGGACAGGGGGGGAAAGAAAAACAGAAGATGAAAAATGACAGACCACCTTTAGTCTTCCATCTGATCCGGCGGGATGTTGTGTGTGGAAATAGACAATGCAAACAAAGGGGGACACGACTGCTAGAGATTTACAGAAAGAATTACTAGTAACCATGGCTACGTGGTGTCCCATGTGCTCTTTGAGTCTGTGGGAATTTTAATCATGCAAATTACCCTGGGCTGCAAAGTGACTCCCAACACCCACCCATCTTTCCCTTCCTCCACTGCAAGAGAGTAGACTCGGTTTTCAGGTGGTACGTGGCTGCCCAGAAGGACAACTTTATTTGTCACCTTCTCTGTGTAACCTGTGGGTGGCCACGGGTTAAAATCTGGCTAAAGGGAGCCAGGGCAAGAATGTCCAAAAGATGGCATTGAAGAGGTGGACTCAGAGACCGTTGCCACCTCCTCATTGCTTTCTGTTGGAATATGATGGCTAAGGGCAACCAGCAACCTTCCTTCTTAGGCCATTCGATGGTCTTGGGAATGAAAACCACCCACAACGCAGCAGAAAGCTAGAAGGAGCCTGACTCCCTGTCGCCGGATGTGTGTCATCATAATCACTTTGAAATACTTGCCCCTGGGGCTTTCACGCGAGAAACAAATATTCCTCCATCTAACGGATGCAATAATGATCTGGGCTTTTCCTGCCACTGTTAGAATCAATCAAAACGAATTCAGCATTTCCTTGCACGTGAATGTGAATTAAACCTATGTTTAATCTCCAAATTTGAGTGAAGAATACAGACATACTTATGTTAAAGGAATCTATGAAGGCACAGAGCACACCTTTTTATTTTTAAGAATTCAGCATGTATAACTGGGATGTCATGTCCCTGTGTGTGTGTGTCTTTGGGGGTGTTTGCCTCTTTTTATCCATTGGCCTTTCTGCGGTTCTCAACACCGTTAATCTTAGGTCCCTGAACTGAAGAGTCAGCGATGGAACTCAAATTTGCCTCCATGATTCCAAATCTGTCACATTTGTGTCATCTTTGATTTTTTTTTTTTTTTATAGCATGTGTGAGTTACATGCACATGCTATCTCTCTTCTTAACCAGCACAGTTCTGGTTCTTTGCCCTACCAAATATGACCCCCCAGGAGTGGAATTGTCGACCCTCGTAAAAGTACTAAATACAATGCTAAATGCTTTCCTCACTCGGCCAATATTTATAGAGTAGCGAGATCTGGGATGGAAAAAAGAATCATTAGAAAGGGTTTGTAGCAAGTCTCTTTGGCATGATGCAGGCAATAACTACTTCTTTCCCTCTTGACTTCATTGAAATTTGCCCTAACGGTTTCTCTCACATGCTCATCTTTTCACTCCATGTCCATCCTCTCTTAGGACTGAAAAAAAAAAAAAAAATCAAAGATGACACAAATGTGACAGATTTGGAATCAAGGAGGGAAATTTGAGTTCCATCTCTGACTCTTCAATCTATTAGCTCTGTGTTCTTAAGGAATTTAAGATCTCCGTGCCTCTCATCTAAAAAAATGGGCAGAGTACTATCTTGCTTGGTACTTATAATAAATGTATATAAAATATAATTAATTCACTTATTTGTTCTTAAAGTGGATGCTTAGGTTACTGATTTTTAAGTGATCTTCCTTTCTTAGATTAGTATTTTAAAGCTATAATTTCCCCCTCTAAGCAGTGCTTTAGACGAATCCCATAAATATGTATATATTAAGTTCTTATTAAAATTCAGTTTGAAATATTTTATAATTTCCCTTCAATTCTTGTTTTACCCAAGGGTTATCTAAAAGACCATTTTTTAAAGATTGCCAAATATGTGAGGACATTATTATATTAATTTTATTAGCTTTTAATTTACTTCCATTTTGGCCAAAAAAATTACTTTGAAAAATTTTAGTCTTTTGAATTTTATTCAGATCTTGGTTGAGGTTCCATATGCACTTGAAAATATTGTGTCTTGTGAAGTGAGGTGCAGTGTTTTATAAATATCAGTCATGTCAAGTAGTTGATAATTTCATTCAGATTCTCTGCATCTTAATTGATTTTTTCATGTAGTTCAATGAATGAGAAAAGGGTGTTTAAATGTCCAGTTATGATTGTGGATTTGTCTATTTCTCCTATTATTTCTGACAGTTTTTACTTCAATTATTTTGAAATCAAAACTATATTTAAAAGTCTTTGTATATGGTAAGCGTTAAATAATTTCAATGAACGTAAGTCTCCCCTTTCCCTCAACTTCCATACTTTTTTTTTTGAAGGGGGGAAATCATTAAATCACAATGTTCTCATAGTCAGACAAGGTAGACTTCCAAAGCTATTCATGGCTTCCACAATTATGTCCCATCCCTACTTAAAAAATCTTAAAGCCAATGTGTGGTTTGATTTTATTATTTTACTTAATAAAAATAAATTGTTATTTATTTTTATTATCAAATCAATTATTATCAACAATTGATTTTATCAATTATTGATTAATAATTGCATTCATTTACTTTATTAAATATCATTACTTTCTTTTATAAGGTAAGGAAAACTACAGCAGAACTTAGCTTTCAGACATTTACTTCTTCAATATGGTAATTATGATCACCATGATTAGCTTGAGAAGAATATAATAGATTTCCTGTTAAAATATCTCTGAGTCCATGATAATAAGAAAACATTTGGGATATATTGCTATTTTTCTCCATGGCTTCCTCTGCTAAAGATTCCACAGCAGTGTCCCATCAGATTTGAAATAAAATCCAAAATCTTTAAAGTGGCCCACAAAGACTTGCATGATCTATCTACTGGCCACCTCTCTAAGTCTCATCCATGGTGATTCAGTCAGCTCTAACGACAGTTGTCATCTCTGTGAACCTCAAGCATGACATGGGGGAGGGTCCCACTTGAAAACCTGGTGGCTCTCCCTGCCAGAACCACCTTTCTACCTAATATCCATCGGGCTGTCCCCACACTTCATTAGATCACTGCTCAGATGCCACCTCCTCAGAGATCAGTCTCAACTTCATGTATAAAATAGCAAAGATCGCACCACCCACTTCACCTGTCAGTCTCTACACATTGATTTTGCTTTCTTATCATTGCCTTTATCGCTGACTAAGATATTATTGCATGCTCTTTGTATTTGTACATTACCTGCTTTCCCCAGTAAAATGTAAACACCATGAACATAAGCACTTTATAAGTTTTATTCACTGTTAATACTGCAGTACCAAGAACACTGCTTGTTCCATGGAAAGTATTTGATAAATGTTTGTTAATTACAGTGTTGAATTAATGAGCTCAGGAACTGTCCTTCAATGACGTACGTGTATTGGTATGTACATATCTAGGTATACACCTAATAAATCTTAATTCTCCAACTTCACAGTATAATAAAAGATACTTTTCAAATTAGCTCTGGGTGTAATTATCTTTACAGTTGATATGCTAATGTTGAAAAAATATGAATTCATGCAAAAACACAATTTCACAATTGGCTTTTCTCTTTCATGATACTCTAGCATACAACTTTATACAAACCCAGTGGTATAAATAATCTGTTCAAATTCTCTTTAGGAGAAATATCGGAATAAAAACAAAAATACAGTGTTTCAGTTGTACTCACATTAACATAGAAAAAATTTAAAATAATTTATACACTTTGGGACATAAAATAATTTGAAATAATTCAAGGAAACAGAATTCAGGTATAAGTAGATTTTGCCCACTAGTTTTGTCAACACCTCTGTTTAAACTCCCAATGGAATTGCATTTCCAAGTATAGAACTAAGTGCCTCCAGCCTTATCATTGCCAATTTTCTGTGATCGGCCTTTTACTATATTTATTAAATGGAATTATTTACCAGCTATCATAGAAACCACATGAAACCTCATGATGGTTGAACATAAAAATGGTTTCAACTTTCTTTATGCTATTTTTATATTTGAGACAGAGTTTCACTCTGTTGCCCAGGCCAGAGTGCCGTGGCATCAGCCTAGCTCACAGCAACCTCAGACTCCTGGGCTCAAGCGATCCTCCTGCCTCAGCCTCCCCAGTAGCTGGTACTACAGGCATGCGCCACCATGCCCGGCTAATTTTTTCTATATGTTTTTAGTTGGCCAATTATTTTCTTTCTATTTTTAGTAGAGACGGGGTCTCGCTCTCGCTCAAGCTGGTTTCGAACTCCTGACCTTGAGCAATCCACCCGCCTCGGCCTCCCAGAGTGCTGGGATGACAGGCGTGAGCCACCGCACCCGGCTCTTTATGCTTTTTCAAGACATAATTTATCAGCAGTGCAATTCATGTCTTACACTGATTCAGGGAATGAATTGGTTGATTAACAAGAATTGCGTATCAGTATATGAATGCAGTTTATCATTTTCTTTTAAACAAATGTAGAGCAATTAGACTCTTACTTTTTAAGTGATTTTTTATTGTACTAGATTGATACAGGAAGAAAGCAAAAGTTTATTCTATCAAGTACGAATTACAAATTACCCTATTAATCAATGTTATTGTATAGGCAACTCTCAAACATTCACAGAATAATTGTACATTTTATATGTTACAGAAGCCAGGGAGGTTCTTGTGTCTTTTAGCTACTTAGCCTTTGGAACAGTTGACTGTTCATTAGCAACATTATAAAGGCAGCGTATTTCAAATCTATCCAAACATGCATCAGCAAATAAGTGCTAGCTATTAGTGATTTGGATAAAACATAAAATAAAATCTTCATGAAAAGCGATTGAAAATATTGACCAAAATAAGATTTAGGTACTCTGTTATGATTTTCATGTATCAGTTCTTATTGTGTAACCGTACTTCCCTTAACTTCAATTGGTGGGAAAAATAAGTAATTTTCTGAAATTTCAAGTCCCTCGCAATTCTGTTTCCTATGTGTTCTTCGTATGTTCCTTTCAACATGGTCTTGCACTAGAGATTTTATCAATTTTTTGCCTGATTGTAATCTAGAGTAATATATATTCGAATATATATATATATATATAACTATACACTTTTATCACATAAAAATGTTTTTAAAAATTCTGTAATGCTATAACATAATATGACGTGGCCTACCCAGAGATGTTCTTGCAGGTACTGCATCTTTATTGATCCAAAAAGAGACCCAAGATAGCACAACTGTCAGGATGCAAGGAATGTAGGTCTGAATGGTGAAATATCCCATGCGTCTGCTCAGGTCAAAAAAAATCGTCATGATAACATAATCCCCTGGAAGAAAAAAAAAATCTTTTATTTTGGCTATAAGATATATAAAAGTATAGATTATAATTCATATATTTTTAATAAAAATGTCACTTAACACTAGTATCATTCACTGATTCGAGTTTTCTCCTTACCAGAGATCGTGTGAGAGATTTCAGTTGAGTTGCGTAACCCTACAAACGCAAACTGATACAACCTCCAGTATTTGGGGTCAGCCACTTCTACGGAGGGCTTTTTCCACTTATACTCAATTTCGTTTTTAGGGTATCCATCTAGAGAAAAAATTAAAATTAAAAAATAGAATAGTAATACTTAAATCTGTTACTGTCGTAATATCAACGTGATCTAAAGACAAACTCTTGAAACTTTTTCCTCCTTTTTTATGATAAGATATGCTCAGTATAGAAAATACTGCATAAAATATATATGTATAGTTTGGGTAATAATAATAATATACTGATCAAATAATAATAACCCATGTAATCCTCTCAAATCAAGAAATAGAACCTTGCTAGTTTTCATGTGTTTACCTAGCATAATATTCCCCCTGACGTCTAAATGTGGGGCTATCCTGATTTCTGTGATAATCCTTCCCATGTTTTTTTTAATCATAGATTTTTGATGTGCATCTCTGAAAAACATAGCTTAGTTAGAGTTATTTTTGGATTATATTTGACTGTTGCCATACTTAATGCATTGTTTTTCATATTTAATATCATATTGTGTGATAGTCATCAATGTTGTATGTAGCTAAATTGTTGCATTGTAAAAATGTCCCAAAATGTATCTATGTTACTGTTGCAGACACTTGTGATGTTTCCTGTTGGCTACTACTTAAATTGCTTCTGGCAACATTATTAGTGGTGCCTTTCAAAACATATATATGCAAATGCTTCTTTAGGATGCATACATACATGTGGGATAGATAGGTCATAGGTTACATATAATTTCAACTTTATGAAATGGTGCCAATCTTTTTCCCATGGAGAGTATACTAACATATTCTCTCATCAGCCAGAGCATGAAAGCTCACATGAATCCGTATTCTCATCAATGTGGATAATGGGCAATCTTCTTCATTTTTACTGGTCCATGAAGTATATTTTATTTCACATGTTCCTGGTTACTAACAAAACCTGGTATCTTTAAAATAAGTTTATTAAATTCTTGGGCTTTTTTTTTTTTTTTAGAGAATTGCTTGTTCAATTGGCCATCATTTTATTGCATTTTCTCTTATTTTTTTCTGTTGTTTCTTCTTTGATGAATTCTTTATATATGCTGGACAACAGTCCTTTATTATTTATGTTGAAAATGTTTTCGTCTAGTCTACGGTGTCTAGAATAGAGGTGTCTTCTTTCAAAAGGAATATTTTTGTTTCTGCCTCACATCAGAGAAGTCCCTGAGGGCCTTTTGGACCAACTGAGTGAAGGAAATGTGGGCTCTGAATCTATTTGAGGGTGGACTTGTGATTAGATCTTCTCAAGAACAGTTATTTTACCCTGGAATGCTGATTTTAGAGGCAGCTTTTTTTTTAGCCTTTAGTTGCTGTGTGTGTGTGTGTGTGTGTGTATGTATATATACATGTGTGTGTGTGTATATATATATATATATATATATATATATATATATATATATATATATCTGGGACACATCTTCATGTGACCCTAACTGTCCAGCCCCTTGTGTACCGGGTGTATGTAGATATTATGTTCTATTAGACTTCCATCCCACAGGGCTGCCAAAAACCAAGGCTCAAAGCTGTGATGTTTTGCCAAGGGTCCTCAGATCACAACTGGTTGCAAACCTACCTTTCTGGTTTCAACTTTTCACTGAAAAGTTTGGATTTTTGCTTGCTGAAAATGTCTTCCTACTATAAGTGATCACTTACATGTTTTTGAGAAGATTTCAATAACTTGAAGTTGTAAGTGTCTTTAACAGAAAGGTTGGTCTACCGTATTAAAGATACAGAACCCACTAATCCATTTAAAAAGATACTATGCATGGGCAGGCATATTATGTCCTAGTCTGAACCTGAGTTGGAGACATATGACTCTTCATCTGAACATTTAGAGGCAAAAACGAAACTCACGACTAAAGGACATGGTGAGCATTGTGGAGGGGAAGGGCATGCCTCTAACCCTTGCTAGGGAGAGGCAAAGATATAAAATGTAACCAAACTGTTTGTACTCTCATAATACCCTGAAATAAAAAAAAAAAAACAAGTAAATTAAAAAAAAAATAATATCACTACAGAAATATTATGATAGTTTCCTTGGAAGAAAATACTAGGTCTTATATTCAAATTTTTAGTTCCAACCATTTCTTTGTATGTCATTATTTTTTTAATTAAAATAAAACTTATTTTTACCTTAGTTTTTCTTTTTTCTTTTTTTTTTTGAGACAGAGTCTCACTTTGTTGCCTCAGCTAAAGTACCGTGGCGTCAGCCTAGCTCACAGCAACCTCAAACTCCTGGGCTCAAGCAATCCTCCTGCCTCAGCCTCCCAAGTAGCTGGGACTACAGGCATGCGCCACCACGCCCGGCTAATTTTTTCTATATATTTTTAGTCGGCCAATTAAATTCTTTCTATTTTTGGTAGAGACAGGGGTCTCACTCTTGCTCAGGCTGGTTTTGAACTCCTGACCTTGAGTGATCCTTTCACCTCGGCCTCCCAGAGTGCTAGGATTATAGGTGTGAGCCACCGGGCCTGGCCTACCTTAGCTTTTCTGACTCATAAAAGTCTTCTCAAAAATTTGCTATTTATATAGTCAATACTCTTAACCCATCCAACATTCAAACATATTTTGAAATCTAGTGTGATAAAGTTATATCTTGCTTCCAGGAAGATGAACTTAAATTTGAACCAACTTTTTATTCATGGATGTCTAAAAACATTTGAATGTACACCTATCTTCAGTATTCCTTTGTTTAATCAAAAATAAGAAAAGGTCATTGGAAAAAAACTAAAAGTTGTAAATAATCATTTAATAACATATATATATCCAGTACACATTTATGTTCATTTTTTAGTTTAAAAGCAAGAAAAAGATGCATTGTTTGTGATTACTTTACCTAAGAGAGTTTAACATAACCCACAACTCTGAAAGTTACATTTTGTCTACAATTATTTTACATTTGTCCATAAACAGGGTCTGAGGCTAAAATTCTATGAAATTATCAAATTTTTTTTTATCACTTACAGCTTGAAAATTCCAAGGGACAGGAATGTTCATCCATGGGAAAGTTATGAAGCTGAAGGTAACATTCTGCATTAATTGTCAATCTATTTAGATGGAGAAATAGATTTTACTGTCAATCTATTTAGATGGAGAGATGGATTTTATTATTTCTATTAAACAGAAATAATTTTAAGCATTAAAAATGTCTTGACTAATTATCAGATACGATCTTGGCCTACAATAAAGAACTGTGATTGTTAGAATATTATAATAATTCTAAATTCTCGAAGACTTAATTAAATGGTAATATTACTACATTCATAAATGAGTATGAACACCCTAACAGTTTTCCTCCCCGGCAAACTAAGACTCCTCTGTAGATAATTCAATATGATCCCTGCATTTACTTTTAAAAATTCATACTTCAGTATCTCAACAAATACACACATGCACACAAAAATGCACACACGCACCAGAATAATAGATTACACACCTGGGTAAGTGTAGTGGCGTTTTCTCTTAATTTATTATGGACATCTTTCCATTAAGGATGATTCTTAATAAGCATATATGTTCAAGGCAATACATTAAATAAACTTGGACCTTATACATCAACTCTCATTTAATCCTCTCTTAGGGATGTTCTGCCACACCATTGAAAGTCAGAGTATTATAATTTTATAGCAGAATGGGCTCCTAGAGAAAAATCTCAGGCTATCATTTGCAGCACAGGTTAAGAAAACATCATGTTCATGCCATAACCACTTCTGCCTCAAAGGAGGAAAACCAGAGTTTTTTTCTTCTTTGCTTTTAGTCCTTTTTCACATAATAATAACTTCTAGAGCATAAAAAAGCATTGTCGAAATATCTCACAATTTTAGATTTTAGCACACGAAAGGAGCTCCACGTTCCTTACCTTGTAACTTTGAAAAAAAAGGGAAATTTAGGAGCAGATCAAATGTTAGCATGGGAAATAAAGCAACTACCAGTTTTTAAAACAATATTACCTTAGGGTATACAGAACTCGTCCATCATTCCAAATGCGAAGCAGACGGTTAGGGGTTGTTATCCAGTGAGCATCAGACTTTCTCGAGTTTCTGAAGAAAGTGTCAGGAATCCAAATTTTTCCAACCATATTACTGTTAAGCATAAGCACTTTCATGGTACTATTGAATTTTAAACGACTGTCAAACCAGGTTTGGGCAAAAATTATATCTATTGTGTACTCCTAAAAAATAAGAAGAATGATGACTTAGTGGTAGACCCATTAGTTGAGATGTTTTTCCCCAGAAGTTTGAATTTTTATATTATAAAACTCTTGCAAGTAAATAGCATTTAAACTCAGTCTTTTTTTTTTTTTTGGAGGAAAAAATATGACATTATCTTAACCTTTCTTTTTAATTGCTTACATGAGTCATGTAAAATGAAATAAAATATTTCCATGGAGGCTTTAATCCTTTTTAGATATTTTGGGGGGAAATTTTATTGAAGATTTTGTAATATGCAAGATACAGCCATTAAATATAAAAGCTAAGTGTCATAATGTTAACAGTTATATTAATTCTAGTGACCTTTCCATGGTGCTTAAGTCACAAAAAATTATAAATAAGTACAAAATCAAGATGCAAAATAACCACCAAATGATCCAAAAGCCCTTACACTATCCATTGTCTGAAAATTAATTTTAACATTTAGATCCACAGTTTTTGAGCAATCACAAACCAACTTATTAAGCAATGATATAACATGCCAAACACACTGCAAAGAGTTTTGCATGCTTCATGTCACTAAGTCGTGACTACAGCCCTGTGAAATAGGTACTACTATAATAATTAATCTCAAACAACATTTATTAAGAGAAAGGTAAAGTAACTTCTCCCCACACCACAGAGCTAATAAGCAGCTGATATGGAAACTGAGCCACTATATGCTAAATTCCAAGTCCACACCCACAACAAATGCATATAATTGTGGTCACAGTGAGGTATGGTGAGTTCCAAGGTTGGGGCAAAGTCTTTATCCATATTGGCAAGTAACGGTAAATGAGAAATTGCATGACTATGATAAACCTATTAGGAGCAGGTAATAAGGCATTATCTGCCTTTGTATCCTGACAAAATATTTGCCATATTGTAAACATTAAAATGTATTTGATAATATTAAGGGAACAGAAATGCAGCAATAATCAAGTCCATGGAAGAAACAAAGTGAAAAAGATATGTGTGTGTATAACTTTGATTTTAAAGAGGATGAAAGGTAAATTGAAAACTATGAGGTATTATATAAGCTACTAGCAGTGGGAGAGATTGGTTGCTAGCTCTTGATGTGATATTAGCAACTGGCCAGTTTACCTGAAGGGAAATATTTGACACAAAAAGTAAATGTACTATTGCAAGTTTAACTAATGAATGAAAAATTGAAAAAAAAAATGCCAGGGAGATCAATAGGTAAACAGAATAGGAGTCAACTTAATAGGGAAGTTGTATCAAATCCTTATTCATAATTATAATTTGCTTGACTGGAATATAGAAATAAATTGAGTGGGAAACCTCATCTGTTTTGGATGAGGAATGTTGCAATTTTCTGAAAGCGCATACCTATTAATTATTATTTAAAATGCAAGAAGGGCCCAGATATTATGCAATTGAGTGTAAACATGAACATTTATAAGGCAATTAAATATATATGTATAAAATTATGGATGAATTCTCCCACTAATGATGTAATATGTGATCTTCAATAATATATCCATATATTTAGCATCTATTGTTTCTCAGTCATTGTTTTGCATAGATCTGAAGACATAAGATCCTTGTGTACAAAAATACTTGCATTCTGACCCTCTCTTTACATAGTTTTTTTTGTTTTGTTTTGTTTTGTTTTTTGAGACAGAGTCTCACTTTGTTGCTGGGGCTAGAGTGCCGGGGTGTCAGCCTAGCTCACAGCAACCTCAAACTCCAGGGCTCAAGCGATCCTCCTGCCTCAGCCTCCCAAGTAGCTGGGACTACAGGCATGCACCATCATGCCCGGCTAATTTTTTCTATATACTTTTAGTTGACCAATTAATTTCTTTCTATTTTTTAGTAGAGACGGGGTCTCGCTCTTGCTCAGGCTGGTTTCAAACTCCTGACCTTGAGTGATCCTCCTGCCTCTACCTCCCAGAGTGCTAGGATTACAGGCGTAAGCCACTGCACCCGGCCTCTTTACATAGTCTTGATTGCCATGCTAGAGTAACTTGGAAAGAGAGACAATTAAAATTTTGTTTTTTTGCAACTCACTACGAGCTGGCATAGAGTCAAACCGTGCTGTGGATTTACAGGCTGAAGGTACTTTTGCAATTATATAAGCCTTATAATTTCTGGAGCCACAACCCTGGTGATACACTATTTGTAGCTCAAGCTGAGTCATAATACAACACACATCCCGGAATACGTAATGAAGCCTATTTATGCTGTAGATGTTTAATTATATTATAGAGCAGTATTAATGGAATAGTACATAAAAGGGCATGCATTCGGGAGGGCTAATGGATTCTTATGTACCATATTACTGCTGTATCTCTTCCTTGAACCTTGCGGAAAATTATTGGACAGTTTCGTTGAAGTTATCTTTAATCCCCATTTTGGCCTCCTGTTTCTCAGGCCATTTGTATATGTGTGTGTGTGTGTGTGTGTATACACATATACATATATATATATATACACACACACACATATACATATACATATGTGTATATATATATTTTGGAATCAATTATGATTTATCCAAGCAGCCTCTTTACCTGACACAAATGATTAACCATTAAGAGTCTAACAGTGTAACTTATGCTAATGAAATGACTTTCTGATTTTAATAGCATATGCAAATGGAAAGAAGGTTCATGCTCATTCTATGGCAGACACTGGAAAAAGCATTTAGTCAGAATTGTGTCAGACTTTTGTATGGAATCAAACAGCAGAGACTGCTTAAAATAATCTGCTGGGCTTATGCCTTGGTGAATATCCAACATTGGTTGAGTGAGGGAATCTCAGCTGCTTGGTAGGTGCACTTGGCTGCAGTATCCGTAGCTAACAGGGTATTAAAGGTGGCACTTGAGAACTAATTTGTCTAGTGATAGAATTTCACAAGCAGCAGTAAAAGCTGCTCAGCAGTTGGCAGGATCTTATTTAAAATACCTGATCCTAAAGTTGCTAATCGCTGTTGGGAGGGTTATGACTTCCAAGGGGTCAAAGATTTCCTAAGCAGATAATCTTGAGGTAGCGTGAAAAGTTTTCTACTCACAATTGTTTTCTCAGTCTAAGATCAAGAAAAGAAAGACACGAGGCATATGTCTTGATAATCCATCCTCCCAAACCTCTGTAGAGGCTAATACTCCCAAGCCCTTTTAAACTGCTAATTCTTAATAAATGCTTCACTGATAAGAAAGTCATTGAAGTCTGTGCCAGTTTATGTGTAATCAAAAATCCAATTTTATTTATATATTTGGATTAGTGTAGTTTCCAGAAAATGGTCAAACTGTGTTCTCGTACTTCATAACCCTACTTGCAGGCCATAATTATCTGCATAATAAATAAGCAAAGAAAACAGGAAACAGAACTTCCATTCACTCAGAATAATACAATACCATAGCTTCTAGAATAAACGTTGTGAGATAAAGAACATAGGACTTAACATTTGTGATCCAATGTGCATTATGAAATTTACTGTATCTTCTTGCAAGTTAGCTGAAAAAACAGCATTAATAAATAAATGTAGAGAAGTGAGTCATTCTGATTTCTAACTTAATCAAATCAGACTATAATTGATGAAAGCACGCAGTGTGGTTTTATCACTATATTGTCAGCTTTGCAACTGTGTAGTGCATCTCACATTTTAAAGTACTAGTTAATTCCATATTACTTTCTTTCTAGCAATGGGAAAAATTTAACACAAAATTTAAGACCCGCCTGAGCAGTTAAGTTAGGTGGCTAATTTCACGATGAAATATGGAGGATTCTGATCTGCTTTTTTCACCCTGGCATTGAACTCTCTTCAAGCTGTCTAATCATGTGCCCAAAACAGAATGGTGGACCTAATCATTATTAGCAATAAATCACATACTAGAGTTATACACATATAGAGAAAAAAGTACGAGTGTAACTAATCCACACCACAAATGGCTTTAGTGGTCAGTGTTCACAGGTATTTGCTCCACTTTGCTTAATTATTGTAAAAGCAACAACTTCTTGATACTATCACTGCCAGGTAAGTAAAAATCTTGGTGTTATTCTGTTTTTCAAATGGAAAAAGAAATAAGGAATAAAGAGGTTATGCCAGCTGCTTAAATCATTGAAGTCATCCAGAGATGCACTGATACTCAAAAAATAGACATGAATCCTAGATTGAGCTACTAACTCTCTGTGTGCTGTTTTTATGCCAGTGAATGTAGATCACCAATATTGTGTTCATTCATCAATTTTTTAGCAAATATTTTTTCAGTGTTCCAGTTAATTTTATATCTCACTGGGTTTACAAAGATGAAAATGGAACGTTCTTGGTAGGAAATACACAATACAAATTGGAAATTACTAAAATTTAGGAGAGGTATAGATAAAGTGAAATGAAAACAGTAGAGATTTGTCTGCAGCTGGGGAAAATTAAGAATGGCTTCATAACAGAAGTTGCATTTAACCTGAAACTTCAACCTTCATGGATTCAAGATATATTCTGGAATTAAATTAATAAATGTTAGGGAGGGAGAAAGAGACAGTAAAATGTAGCACATTATAATGGGACAATAAAAGAATGCAAGCCATAAATAATGGGAAAAGGTAGTGTATTTTCTGTATGTCAGGGAATGGCATTCCTCAGATACACAGGATACTCTACATCTGGAAAAGTTTTTGGCAACTATTATCTAAAATTAAAAATTTCCAATAATTGACTCTGGAACCTAGCCACGGCTCTGAATCCATGCACTGCTGAAATGAGAAATATGAACTGAAAGTGTTCACACTTCATGTGCTAATTTTCTGCATCATGCTGAGTCATACGTTTCCCACTGGATATATATCCTATACAAAGTTTCAAAGAGTAAAGGATTAAATTTAGTAAAATCACAGAACAGCCAAGCCCTGCATAGAATACAGAGGCATAAAAAAATGAACTCCCAGTCCTTAAGCAGTTATATCATATAGAGAGGATATGAACAGGTTCCAAAGATAGGCAATATGTACCTTGAGATCTGGG